CGTACACACAGTCGCTAGCGGGTCATGCTAGATCCCTGTAACGCTGCAGCGTTGCCTATTGCACGAGGGGTCATAGGTCAGCAGGTCCGTTGCCAGAAACGTCGTAACGTTACGGCTATAGTTAATGCTGTAGCGACTCACTTACGAATAATGTCGCGTCGAAAATCTTTCTGGCGGCTTCTTCGGCTAAATGACAGCGTCGCCCGCCGCCCCGTGCCAAGGGACGCGACGTCACACGTTATGACGTCATATGCCATGACGTCATGAGTGTCAGATGTCGTGACATTTTGCAGTGGAGTGCCGCGTAAAAGTGATATCATATTAGACCTATGCTAGGCATGTCAATTTAGGGTGTTTCTAACTACAACCCCGCGCGTCCAGGCGGGGGCCAGCCCACGGCGAGATGCAATCAGGACAGCTTCTCGGTAGGATGCATTAGTAGGCGCTATGCGGCTTGCGTGTCTAACGACCTCGCTTGCGTGTCTGTGCAGATAGAGAACTGTGGCGAGTGCGCCTACGCGGGGCTCATTGCTAAAGCCATTATTTACATGACACTGCGACGAAATCAAACGGATGAGTAGCAGAGCGCGTCAGATGCTCGCATTTGCTGCGGCTTCGTTTATATGCCGAGCTGCATCGAGCTGCACTCGATTGTTAACTAACCCGCACTTACTATCCAAGCTGGCTTCGCAGCTTAGATTGCAGCGGCCGGGATTCGCCTGAAAATCTCTCGCAGATTCGCCCTGAAAGATTGTCGGTTCGTATAACGAGAAGGCGCCTCGTTTCTTTAGCTCACGATTAAGGCATACTTTAGAACGATAAGCGGCACGGTGGCTTCGACCGTAATTCACGTTCGCGCGAAAACATTGCGTCGAAACGAAACCATCTGTTAGCGTCCGCATTAACAAACGGGTTTTTTCCCCCTGAAGTGTGCGTTATTCATGTAACAAAGAATTGGGTAAGGGGTTTTACTGCGACGGTATATATGCTTGTACATTAACAGAGCACGCGATCTGCGTCGCGACCATACGCTGATGGCTGAGGACACGCATTACAGAATGAAGATGCATAGCCGACCATTGAGAAGGTAAAACGAATATAAATGAACAAATTATAACGACTAATAAACTCTTTTTTATTCTATACTAGTAGTATATATTATGTGAATGCAGGATTTTATTAACGTGTTGGTAGTTGACTAGTCCGCCGGCTGGAGGTATGGAAGGCTGCTGGCTTGTTGCGATGTGTGTGCGTGTGCGTGCCGTGCCAGAACAGGTCTGCGGTGTTGCGTAGTGGCCGTGGCGTGTGCGGTGTGACTTGTGCGTGTGCGTGTGCGTGTGCGTGTGCCGTGGCGTGTGCGATGCAGTTCGTCGCGAACAATGTGCCGCAACAGTGTCATATAATAAATAGTTATTCATTATTGAAATCGTTCTGACGCATACGCAAAGACCTGCGTACGCCTAAAAGCGACTCCACGATCCTTTTCACCACATCTCCGCTGCGACATAACAGCACATCTCACATGACCATTATAAATATATAGAGCCCATTGATACACACGACTAGAATGTAATAGCGCAAGTTAAAAACGATATGCAATTATGTGAAATGCTAAACATTTATCACGCGAGCTGAATATATTTATAGCGAGGGAATTAAATAGCATATTATTGAAATCGTTCGCGATACGCAAAGACCTGCGTACCGCCTAAAAGCGACTACCCACGTCCTTTTCACCACATCTCCCTGCGACATAACCACCACATCTCACATGACCATATAATATATAGAGCCCATGATACACACCGACTAGAATGTAATAGCGCAATTAAACGATATGCTATTATGTGAAATGCTAAACATTTATTACGCGAGCTGAATATATTTATAGCGAGGGAATTAGGAAAACGAGATCCTGCCGCCAATACACACACACACACACGAATTTCGAACCTTTTAGCATTCATCTTGCACGAGCGGAAATAAAAACGATGTGAACCGTCGTATCTTCCATCATAATTGCAAAATCGCGGTGCCTGCACTAGAGCCACGCAAATAGCCGCACACGAAGTCTGGCTATATAGGGCAGCGCGCCTAGGCGAAAACAAGTAAATTCAATTATTGAGACATCGTTTGGAGATGTCGGCGAGCGCACTGGCTCCTAAATTAGCCGGATTGTGCTTTTTTCGCGAAACGCGCAAAACGGTCTCGCCTCTTTGAAGCTGTCGCATCGGCTCAACGTAATATCCTCGCTCTCGAATTAGCGAGAGTGTCGGCAAGCGCGCGCCGATATACGCCTGTCATTCAGCCGCCGCCGCTGCGACAGCAAATAATCAATTGAAAATATCGGCGCGGACGACAACACGAGCGCCAATAAATAATAGTTGCCGCGATTTATTCGAAATTGAAGGCGACTGGCAAAAGCGCGTTGTCACACGTCGGCGCGGCATAGTGTATTAGTGTGTGTGTGTGTATACTTATAAGTAACGACGGCCCCGCGGAAAACCACGATGATGAAAAGCGCAGGCGAGAAAAATGCACCTCGCTGTGATTGTGATATGCGAGGGAGAATCGCTGGAAATCTACTCCTCTTCATAAGCGATTCCGCTTCGCATTATAGTTTCACAAACTACCGCTGGGCGGCGCTAGTGTCGGCGGCACTACGTAAATATTGGCATAATATATATTAGTTTCGAAACGTTTTTTCCAGGCGGCGATTTGATCGATTCAATTACAGATCAATCACTCGCCTGCGCGTGTATTTCACGAACACGTCGCGCGTGTGGACGCAGCGGATGCGAGTTGTTTAGATTTTACAAGAACAGGAAGTGACGTTATACACGATAAGGACCGATATGTTTGATTTGAATTGTCGCAGGAAGTGACCTAATATATTGTCAATTTACAGCTAACGTCGTGCGCAAAGTGGCATATTCTCATTCCTAGTCGTCTCGTAAGCAACAGATATCTCACATCTAGTGTTATTAACCACAGATATTCACCGATAAGATATTCAGATCTAATGCAGATTGGACGCCGCGCTATAAGTAGAGAGAGAGTCGCCATTTTATATGCGGATACCTGAATCGGATACCTGATAATATATGCGGTGATGATATATGATATATGCGGATACCTGAATTGCACATATCGAGACAGAAATAGATCCGCAAGGCGGCATCCATTTACACGCGTCACGCGTGAAACCTTTCATCAACACAACACGCGCAGCCCGGTGACGTGTTTACGCCGCGCGGGCAGGTGACAATTTCGGTGTTGGCAGAAAGATGCGATATGATATGACTACTAGGCACTTTAATTTAATTTAATTTTTTTTTTAGGGTTAGGGTTAGGGTTAGGGTTAGGGTTAAGTGCTTAGTAGTCATATCCTAAGTGCCTAGTAGTCATATCATATCGCATCTATCTGCCGGGTGCACAATTTCACGCGCAGCGGTCGCGGTTGTTATTCCTACATTGTTATTCCTATGTTACTCACAGGCATATACATCCCTGCGTGTTACTCACAGGTACACATCCCTGCGTGTTAAACTTCCCCGATTGTAGATAAAAATCGTGCCGATGTGAACTCATAATTGCTTGCACGCAGTGGCACATGCAGTGAAGCTGCAATATTGGGCCGTGAGAGCACTCTCCGACATAAAATTCCAACCGAGTAAAAATCGAGTTCATTCAATGTCATGCGCGCTTCCAGATGGATGACCTTCTGCTGACTAGGGTAGTGGCTCAATGATGGCTGTTCGTTTTTCCAAATCTAGCGAACGAAATGAATTCCCTGCGCTGACCGCCGGCTGTAACGCCAGTGTTTTACGTTGCTATGGGAACAAGTTTGCGGCTAATGCGGAGACAACGATTAGCGATACGTTGGCGTTGAGCAGAGTGGGAGCGGGGGCGGTTAAAAAAAGATGTTAAATAAAGAGCGATCGGACATCATAAATTCTCGCCACAGCCGTTGATATCGCATCGTGCTGCCATCTCCCGGTGCTTTCAGTGTGTTTTTAAATTACTTTGCAGTGCGAACTGTCGTAAAAACAATTATACGTGTGTATTCGTTAGTTGCTTCCTCCTATAATATACTGTGCCCAATGGACATTCAAACGATGTGCAAACTAATCGATTTACTTTGTGAGGAAACACACACAGAAACGTTGTATAACCTAGTGCTGCCATCTGTGAATACGCGAATGCAACATAATAGCTACTATGAAAAGTGAATCATGGTTGTATGAGTAGTAGACACGGTTACGTACTTTCCTATATCCGAGCAGGAAGCCTGGTTCGCCACTGAGGGGTATGCTTCAACTGAGCTATCCTCCTGAGCGTTGATAAAAAAAATAGTTGGCGCAATGCAAGCGCCAGACGACTTGTTTCAACTTTGACTCATCAGGTTCTTCAGTGTTTTTGCTTCGTCTGCAAAGACGATACTGGGTATCTTTGCACTCTCAGTTATATACGAGAGAGTGAGGTGAGAGAGAGAGAGAGAGAGAGAGAGAGACTGCGAGAGAGAGAGAGAGAGAAAGAGAGAGAGAGAGAGAGAAAGAGGGAGAGAGAGAGAGAGGGAGAGGGGGGGGGAGACCAGAGACCAGAAGGCCAGAGACCAGAGACCAAGAAAGGTCAATCGACTACGGAAGGAAACAACTTTAAGGCTAGGCATTGTCAGTGAGATTGCCGACCTAATATAAAACAGAATGGTTCTTCGCCTGCGTGTAATTAGCCTCCTTGTCATTATTCACGAATTGCAGATAATGCACGTAATTATGCTTGCCTGCGTTATGCGCAATGGCCGACCTAGAGGAGGTATTTGCAGTGGCAGCAAAACATCTTCCGGATGTACAGCGTGTGTTGGGAGGAACGGAAAGGAATTTCCTCTTCTACAGAGGAGTAGAGTTACGTGCCAAGCATCGCGCTAGCTGTCTGAACGTCCGCGTTGCGAATGACTGCCGCTACTGCAGCTAACCTATAGCTGTCGCCATACGCTCAAATTTCATTTACCAAACGTTCGAAATTTTATTTCACTTACGCCACGCGATGATCACAAATACGACAGTGAGCGGAGAGGTTAATCTAAAAGCTTCCAACACGCGAGCAGCATCGTCATATTTTCTATGAAATCAGATGAAATTTAATAAATGCAAGCCGTTACCGAACAGCTCGTGCAAAGCTATTTTAGAGGCAATGCATGTATGTTATACATGTGCTATATTATTATACACTGCATTATATACTTGCATCGAAAGCGAATCTGAAGCGAGCAATAACTCACTTCTTACAAAGGATTTTCGCTAACTGCTAATAACTTGCAGCCAGACGTACTTATATATAATCAGGAGTCAACGAAACTTGGTTTTATTCACTCCTGATATAATAGCCATATTAGCATATAGTTTGCTAAACAATGTAAGCATACGCACGTATATTAGCATGTCGCTTTTAAGCGCCACTCGCTTTTTATAAAACGCATTATGGCTATATTTAAGAGCTTATAATACTGTTATAGTACTTAATATTGTTTTATTAACTTTTGTTATAATTAAGGTTTATGCCAGTCGAAAGGCTTCAATTGCTGCTGTTTAAATGAGAACAATCATGCTGCCCACTACCACCAGGGCCGTAAGAAGGCCGGAGACAGTGCGGACGGGAGCCGTGGATGGCGCACACTGCAGAATTAATGCCGGTCCGTTGACAATCTCACCGATCCTGTCGCTCTTGCGCAGACTCGACGCTCCTGATGCATCCACATCCACGATCTCCTTTGGCTGTAAACAAATCAAAATGACAAACGAGTTCGGTGTGAGATTAGCTGCTGAGCAATGCAGCGCGGCATTGCGTGTCAGTCCGGGGGGGGGGGATGCGGCTGGCACTTGATTTGTCAGAAGATTCGCCGCAAAGCGACGGACAAGTTGAGTTGTAATTGCAACGATATTGCGCTGTCCACCTGCTGCGTGAGCAATGCGGCTGACGAGTAGAGATACTCCCACACACATACACACATACACACACGCACACGCACATAATACCCTACACACTCTTTGAAGAATATTCATTGTTTTTTTTTAGTTTAATTTAAAATTAAATTAATAATATTCGTTTAATTCTATTAGGATTATTAGGTACATTATCATTAGGATAATCATGTAATTCTATTAGTTTTATTATCAAATTACTTAATTAATTTCGTTAAATGAATTTAATTAAGTTAATTAAACTATATTAGCGCATTATCTTTTTATTATCTAACGGTGGGATTGTTTCGCGCGTGAGAGCGTTGCGGGGAGGGGGCGCCACGCTCGCGGTCTCTCACCTCTTGACAGCGATTGTTCTCAACGATAGGAACGTTTGCTTCGATCATGTGTTCCTCGAACAGCGGGTAGACGCCGCAGCCGCAGTCGAGTCTGTTGTTGTAGAAGAACGTGTAGAAGCGCACGCCGACGATGGCGCGTTGCTCGATGGCGTCGATGTCGTTGTTGTAGATCTGTGCGCATGTAAACGGAGACGACGTGTAGGAGAAGCTGCGAAGCTGAGAAGCAGCTCTCTCAGACAGAGAGATGAAGAGATATAGGAAAGCTCGTGAGCTCGTGTAACAGGCACGTGTGATATACATACAATACATATCTTATACACCAGGCACATACAGACAAGCGACTGGTTTACAAATGCAGTACATATTTACGAGCGTTGAGTCCTGCAGGTCGCAGGCAGCAGGCAGGTCCTCAGTCAGTGATGTCCAGCAGCGACGGTAGCGTGGTGATCCCCAGCAGGTGAGATCAGCGGAATCTGTGTGCTGACAGCGTCGGGAGCTGTCAAGCACCGTGGAACCGTGTCTGCCTTCTTGTCGAAACTGTTCGTTATTTATACTGCTGGAGGAATGCGTGGCCTGCGCGTCAAGGCCTTGTTGCGTGCGGATGGTGCAATTCTGTGTCCTTCTCCAGTATTGTATGGACAACTGAAGGTGAGAGACTTCCTTCTCTAGCGTGAGAATGGCAGCTGGAGCTTCTAGAAGTCCTTGTATTGGGAGTCGCGGCAGTTCGATTCATGCTCTCATATTTTCATAGTACACATTTGTCGGCGGCGTTCGTTGTTTGTTCTTTATTAGTCGACATGCGAGATCAAGGTGTGATGTCCTTCTATAGGTACTAAAATGTCATAGTGTCGCCTTGTGTAGGTGATTACTTTCTCTCTCGCCTTTCTTGTGTCCCGCGCGCGACACGTGTGCGCCACGCGACCGGCGTGTGCGACCCGTGTCGCTCGCTGCGCTCGGCTCATGTTACCTTGACTATTACTAAAATAACCTATGACGTGATTTGCTTACGTTTAATGACCCGTGTCGCTGGGTTTTTATACGGTTTATTCCCATTTCGCCATTTTCCCACTTCGTCATTTGCCATTTCGCCATTAAAAATTCCCACTTCGCCATTTGCCATTTCGCCATTTCCCGTTTCGCCATTTCCAACTTCGCCATTTTCCCATTTCGCCAGTTTCCCACTTCGCCAGTTTCCCATTTCGCCAGTTTCCCGTTTCGCCAGTTTCCCATTCCGCCATTTCGTCCTATCTCCCCACTCTCTAGCGCTCTCCCTGTGATGTTCTTTCTCTCTGCCTCCCCCACTTCTCTTTACCGTTCCCACACACACTCTCTCCTTTGTTCGAGCTACCCCGCGTCTCTCTCTCTATCGTCTCTCGCTCTCCCTTTCTCTCTCTCTCTTTCTCTCTCTCTCTCTCTCTCCCTGCCCCTCTCCTTCTCTATTCTATCCCCCTCTCTCACACATTCTCTCTCACACATACTCCTTTGTTGGCGCTCTCCTGTGTCTTTCTCTCTTCCTCTCTCTATTTTTCCATTTTCTCCCCGTTTTTCTCCCACACTCTCCCACACTCTCTCTCTCTCTTTCTCTCTCCTTCGTTGGCGTTCTCCCGGCGCCTCTCTCTTTCTCCTTCGTTGGCGTTCTCCCGGCGCCTCTCTCTCTCTCTCTTTCTCTCTCTCTCTCTTTCTCTCTCTCTCTATTTTTCAAGTCACTCCTCTTTTCTTACACACTCTCCCACTCTCTCTCTCTCTCTCTCTCTCTCTCTTTTGTTGGCACTCTCTCCGCGTCTCTCTCTCTCTCTCTCTCTCTCTCTCGCTCTATCTATTTTTCCATTCTCTCCAATTTTTTCTCTCACACTCTCCCACCTTCTCTCTCCTTCGTTGGTGCTCTCCCCGCGCCTCTCTCTCTCTCTCTCTCTCTCTCTCTCTCTCTATTTTTCTATTCCCTCGTCTTTTCTCACACACACTCTCCCACTTTCTCTCCTTCGTTGGCGCTCTCCCGCGCCTCTCTCTCTCTCTCTCTCTCTCTCTCTCTCTCTCTCTCTCTCTCTCTCTCTCGCGTGCGCGCGCACCGCCGCGTACCTGGTACAGGTACACGTCGTCCATGCCGTGGAAGGCGTACGTCTCGATGAGACCGATGTGTGACATCGTGATGACGAAGTTCATCGTCTCGCGCGCGCCGTGGAACGCGTCCGTGCGGATCGCGCCGATCGACGCGTTGGCGATCTTCAGATTCGTGAAGCCGTACACGTCCTCGAAGGCTCGACTCTCGATCGCGTCGACAGTAACGTTGCTCATGACGAACGTCCGCACGGACTCGAGTCCCGAGAAGGCGTGCGCCGGCAGCTGGGCGACGCTAAAACCCGAGAGCGTCAGCCGCGTCACGTTCCAGAGACCGCGGAAGGCGTACGGCTCGATGCTGAGCAGGTGCGGCAGATGCAGCTCGAGCAAATTGACGTATTGAAGACCCGAGAATGCGTCGGTGCGCAGCGTGACGATGGGGTTACCTGTAATAGAAGTCAGGTGTTAGTTGGAGACGACAGGTGTTAGCTGTAGCAGACGACAGGTGTTAGCTGTAGCAGACGACAGGTGTTAGCTGTAACAGACGACAGGTGTTAGCTGTAACAGACGACAGGTGTTAGCTGTAACAGACGACAGGTGTTAGCTGTAGCAGACGACAGGTGTTAGCTGTAGCAGACGACAGGTGTTAGCTGTAATAGACGACATATCTTAGTTGTAACAGACTACAATGAATACCTACAGTGATTATGCTGCAGCACATTTAATTGCGCAGAGAAACATTTCTAGCGTCCCATCAAATCCATATTTACAGTTTTCAATAACAATATAATCGAAGCAGGTCCCACAAAACTAACTGCGAAGTGTCAATTCCCCTGGCCGGTCAACCCTGCCCATCTGGGCTCACCGTTAGAGAGCAGCAGCGAGCTAACGAAGCTCGTGCCGTTGAAGGCGTGTCCCTCGATGACCTGAATGGCGTTATGTTCCAGGTCGATGATAATCTTTTTGTTGCGAAATCCTTTTATGTCGCCCATGGAGTTCGACTGTAGAACTTGGATTGCATTGTTCTGCAGGGAGAAAGATGTCAGATCGAATTGCAACGGCCTGATTGATAACGCGTTGAACAGCATTGGGGGAACTGAACTCGTCTTAGTGTGTCATTGTTAGATTCACCTGCACGATCGCGGCGATAATATAACATGTACGATGATAGGGCTTAGCCTACCTGTACAGCGTATTGATTGCCTTACCTGTAAGATGACAGTGATTACATCACCGTTACAACGTACGTATTGATTACCTTACCTGTAAGATGACAGTGATTACATCTCCTGTACAACGTACGTATTAATTACATTACCTGTACGATGGCAGGAATTACCTTACCTGTTCGGTAGGAGGAATTAGTTATGCTGCAACGTAGTTATAGTTCGCAACATGCACAACGTTACCTGTATGGCAGGAGTGTTCACATTACTCGCCTGATGTGGGCAATGAACTTAAGCCTCTATGTAGACTGGTGAGTTAATTTATTTGGCTATACTGAGCTATTACGTGGAAGGTCATTAATTATCCGTAAGATGACAGCCTAACTTGGTTTTCCAAGCGTCAGTAGAGTCAATTAGGCCATCAAGGCGCGTGCTGGTCAGTGATCAGTATTCATGGAGAGAGCGCGCGAGAAAGAGAGGTGGGGGAGTGAGCAAGAGAGTGAGAAAAAGAAGAAGAAAAAGAAGACAAATATATATATACACACACACAGCACACATATTAAATATTATATATATAGTATATATATATAGTATATATATAATATAGGGCGGGAAAAGCAAGGAGGAGCGAGAGGAGACGATAGCGAGAGAGAGGGGAGAGAGAGAAAGAGAGAACAAGAGAGAGAGAGAGAGAGCCTGACGGGAGACGCGAGCTGCCCGCAAGAGAGAGAGAGAGAGAGAGAGAGAGAGAGAGAGAGAAAGAGAAAGAGAGATATAGAGAGAAAGCAAGAGAGAAAGAGAGAGAGATAGCAGAGAGAGAGAGAGGCGGGGAGAGAATGAGAGCGCGCGAGCAAGAGAGAGAGATCATACTGTAGACAAGATCATCGCTTAATTACCCGTATGATGAGATGACTGAGGCGATCCAAGCCTCGAAAGGCGAACGCGCCGACAGCTGCCACGCTGCTGTTGTGTATCTCCACCCGCGTCAGGTACGGCACGCCCTTGAACGCGTCCGTCGGGATGCCGGTCAGCCGACTCTCGCGGATGACCACCGTCGACGTCTCGGTCGGATAGTCGATTGCCTGCGGTAGACTGCTCAGGCCCTTGCACGCGACCCTCATCTCGGGGCGCCCCCTGGTGCCGCGGCTGCTCGCAATGAACGAGCACGTGCAGTCGTCGGGGCAGGCTGCCGCCGACGCGACGGCGACGACAAGAAGCAGTGTCGTCACCGGAAACAGCGGGCGTCGCATCGCGTGCGCGCGTCGTCGGTGACGGGAACACGTGATGGCGAACTCACCTAGTCACGTGATAACGCACTCGGCGCCACGTGATTCTGTCCCCGTCGACCCGGAGGTCGATAAACGTCGTCGACGGAGTTATTGCGTGCTGCCACTAGGTGTCGCTAGCAGCGTCACGCCGCGGCGACGAAACGGACGTCGGTGCAGCAGCGTCAGCGCGATTCACTCTGATTAGCGACGCCTAGCGTTATCCGAGGGAACTAACCTTTGAATCGACGAGTTGACAATTAGCGTTTGATGGTTGGTGGCAGATGTAATGTCACATGCTTTTACGTCAATACCTATAGTCGTCCACAGCGTAGGCTCTGCTCGCAGTTGTTCCCCTGTCGGCAAGTGGAGGTGTTATGATCCGAGAATGGCTGAAGGATTGGCCTTTACCCGCTATTATGATACAGCTTCCGGCATGACTGTACTCAGGCGCACTGACATCTACCGGTAACGTGGTAGATATGTACCGGGGCAGATAAGTCACTGGTGTCACGTGACGCTTCTACTTGCGTAGGTAGAGACCGGATCTGCATCCAAATTTCCTTGAAAGCGCAATGCGCGAAGCAAGTGCGACGAATTCCCCGTTTATACAAAAAAACGATATATAAAATTTATTCCAATCTTTATTACAATTTTAAAACAACATATTTTGTATCTACCACTATCGATCCATATTCCCTTTAAATATCTGCGCTATATTTATGTCACGCCTATAGGGAACAGATTGTTTCGAAAGTAAATTTTCTAGATCGGATTTTCCCAAGCACATGTCTTGCGGCCATGCCCCTGCCCATTTTGAGCGCGGAAGTTTGGCCGAAGAAAATTTGCTTGGGTGGCAACGGGAACCAGCGACGCGAACACCATTCCATGTTCATTAGCATAGAGAAAGGATTGCGGCGCGTGAAAATTTTAGTTCGAATTTTACCAAGCACATCTCTCCCGGGCATCCCTTTCAAAAACTTGCGAAAAAAGTTTCAGCATGTAAGATCGACCGAAGAAAATGATCTTAGCTGGCAATGGCGACCATGCAGCGACGCGAGCGCCATTCCATGTACATTAGCATAATATACAAATAGTAATACCTATAACAACGTAATTATATCTACGAAAATTCGGTCACACATTAACACATTAGAGAGTCGGTGCTAGTTCGTATACAGTATTCATGTTCATAGACTGTGCAGCTGCATGTGCGTGTGTCCTGGTCGCACGGAAGGTGGTGCAATCTAGGAGCGAGTGTTGCGAATAATAAACATCGTCGAGTGATCCATTGCAGCATACTAAATATGAATCTGCTTTCAATTACAGGTAGGTGACCATTGTAGGCGCACTGCGCGCTGATCGTACATAATGTAAGTATAACGTATATACGTGTCACGTGCTGAAATTCTGTCATGCGTCACGTGTCACGTTTGTTGAATGGGTGTTCGTGGCTTGTCTCATGTTCGTGATTATCACCTGTAGTAACAGTGCGCGGGAAACACTTGGAGTCGCGGAATGCAACAGGCACGTTACGAGCGCGCAACGTAATCAAGGGCGATACAGTGGCTACGTTGTCTGTGTATATAGTATCAGGAGTTAATGAAGACAAACATTTGTCCTCATAGTATCTACGCAGTCTGCTATCAGGATTCCGCTCACCGCCTCTCTCGTCTCGTCATGGTGTCCCTTCTCACCTCTTTTTTATCATTCCTCTCTCTCTCTCTCTTTCTCTCTGTGTTTTTTTCTTTTTTAGCTCTCTCTCCCTCTCCATCTCTCTCTCGCACTCTCTCTCTCGCGCTCTCTCTCTCGCGCTCTCTCTGTTTCTCTCTTTGTTTCTGTCTCTTGCCCTATCTCGATCTCTCCCTCACCATCTCTCTTGCTCTCTCTCTCTAGCTCACTACGTCTCTCATTCTCGTTCTTGCCTTTCTCATTTCTCTCCTCTCTCTCTCTCCTCTTGCCGAGTAAGCCCCCCTCGCACGCATGTGAATCCCTACACGTCAGCATTTACAAGGTGGATTCTATGTGCAATACATCAATCATAAAGACGTACGGTGACAGACCAAACTCGGGCCGCGCTAGCGCTCATAGGGTCTATGTCCCCCAGGGTATACTGCCGGAACGTACCCTGGGTACGGTCCGGTATACCAGAACGTACCCTGGTCACTATTTGATATGGTTAGGGTTAGGATTAGGGTTAGGAATAGGGTTAGGGTTCGGGTTCGGGTTAGGGTTAGGGAGTAGGCGTAGGCGACTACCTAGACTCGTTAGTGGAGTAGGCGAAGTACGGTACGGCATATTAGATAGTACCAGGGTACGTTCCGGCAGTACCCTGGGGAACATAGACCCTCTCAGCCTTGCTAGCAGCACGTACACGTTGCTATGCGCTGGGGACTGACGGGTATGCCACTGCAACGATGCTTTTTCATGCGTCACACAGTCAGAACTTCATTATAACGAACCGATGAACATTTCACTAAGCGTATACAAAACGGGAAAATTAATTTCCTGGTGCATTTAGACCGTGTGTATGCGTGCAGACGGGAGAATGCATGAATCGACAGCATGCATAACTGCGGAGTTATTCGCGGCACGGCATGGCAACGGGCACCTATCTCTGCGGTATATTATCAGGATTAGGAGTTAATGAAGACAAAATATGTTTGTCTTCATTAACTCCTGATATTATCCTATAGAACGTTAATTGCTGTGCGTGGGCTCGTAACTTGATTCCCATGAACACCGCATCCTCGGTATTCCGTCTAATGAGAGCACGCCGCACCTGCCACTAGACCGTCGGTTCGTCTCCCGTGTCCTAACTACATACACACGTGCGCACGCACGCACGCACGCGCACACACACACACGCACGCACGCACGTACGCACGCATACACGCACACACCCACACACTCGCGCGCCGCGCAAGCGCACGCACACACGCGCGCACACACACACATACACACACACACACACACACACAACACACACAGACGCATATACACACACGCGCGCACGCACGCACTACACGCGCACACACACACAAATACACACACACACACACACACACACACACACACACACACACACACACACACACACACACACACACACACACACACACACACACA